CTTAGATTATGCAGACAAAATGATCAACGAACGGTGTCAGAAATCGCAAGAATATCAGCACCAGGCTTCTAGAACATGGATCATACCCCGATCATTTGGAAGCATCGGAGCATTTTTCACGCATTAATTATGTCAACGAGCAAGACGAAATTTACAAAACTCACAGAAGAGACAAGGACATCTTGATCAAGATGGACAAGGCCACCATGCAGAGTGGCTGTGAGCAGTTTGCCAGTTAACTCAAAGTAGGATGCAACGGCAGCAAATGCTTCAGGTTTACTCCATCTTCAGACATGACTTCAATTGTGACCAACTTGATTAGCACAACTCAAGTATGCCGACCTGTGAATTAATGCGTCGACATTTAAAATATAACAGGAAAATATCACTAGCTCCAGATCCATTATTTTCTCCAAGTTCGCACTTCTGTTTTCATTGCATAATTCAAATTGAATGATGTCTGCACCTTTTAAAATTCCTGCCTTTTATGATGAAATTTCTTCCAGTATGAATGTTGTAGAGTCTAACCTAATAGAAACGTAACGATTTCGTGTATTTGTCAACAACCAAATAAAGGAAAAATAGGTATGTTTCCGAAGCCGCCCCCAGATATAATGATTTTAGTTGAAGCGGCTCTAAAGGAAACGAGGCGTATCAATGGAAGAAGCAGGGTAAAGCACACTGCGATTAGAATCGATCGTAGAATTGTAGTATTGCCTATGACCTTTCCAAATTTCTGTGGGAAAATTTTCGCTTCAGTGATAGCAACTTATTCGATCACTCTGATTTGTCTGATTTCTATCTCTATCAGAACACCTATCAGTTTATAAGCAACGTCCATTTCAGGGATTAGGTGCAGAATTGAACACTTTCATATTATCCAATTACATTACGTTTACTGAATAGTTCTGGGAGAAATCATATTTCTGGACATCACCCACGAAAAATCATTTCAAATCTATATGACTTGAGATGAAGACAGATTTGGGAGTTACAGGGAGGTAGGCCTTGGGGGAATTGGTCCTTACCTATAACAACAGAAAACGACATCTCCTTGAACTGACTTGCATTAGAGATTGAATTGTGTGGTATATGCCTCAAGGGGCTACTAGCTGAGTATTTATCTACTAGTTATCTTCATCTGACTTGGAAAATTGAAATATGTCTTGTCAGAATTATTTAACTTGAGTCTGCAATTGTTGATGAATAAAAGGTTTCTATCCTTATCTCCTTTTGATTCCAGTTGTATAAAACTTGTGCCAGGTGATCTCTGACATATATAGTACGTTTTCATAAATCAGATCATTCAACAGTTTCAACTTTCTCACCTTTCTTGCTGCTGTAAAATATCATGCAGGTTGTACATTTAAGCACCATATCTCTTCGACTTTGCCTGCCAAACTGATTAAGCTACTAACTGGCTCTCATGTGGCCCAAATCTTGCCCGGTTTCAGTATCATCTTTGATGGGTCATCTGATTTAACACGGATTGGGCTGAGGAACAGAATATCACGCATGTTAGGGAACATCGATTTCTTGAGCTCACACATGTTTGGAAAGCTGCTGAAAGAAACGTCCATTTTAGAGTAACCACGCTCTTCAGACTTCATTGATGGCTGCAAATGGATTAGCAGATGTCCAGTCTCGATTGCCTTCCTTGACGGTTCATACAGAATTACAGACTGATGGTAGATTGGTAGCCTCAAGAACGGAACGATCATATGAATTCATACGCATGTGAACAGAGATCAAAAGAGAGGTGACGGACTCAGACTCGTCGATGCTCCCCAAAAGTCGAAATCGAAAAGGTAGCAGCATCCGGTGTGTAGAAAAAGAAGAGACGCTTTGCTAATTTTCTGATGTAATTGATCGAGATGGGCGAAGGAATTCTACCCTATCAAAGTACCAACTGCCACCGATTCACGTCACGAGTAGACTTATACGATGTGTACACTGTACATGTACATCTGAAATTGTCGTCGTGGTTAAATGACAGCCGAAAAAAGGGAAGAAATTTGCGTGGCCTTGTCAATGGAAGTGTCAACAACACAGGTGAGAAAGTGTGCTCGGTCGTGTACTCGCGTCGGTTTACCATGGATTATTCACCCTTTTTTTTTTTTACTTTCTAGAGACTAGAGGTGAAGTCTCCTAAAAGAAGAGTAGCAAAGGAGGCAGGAAAAATCACTCCCTTCCTTTTTGAAACAAGAAATCACTCTTGCTTGAACAAATGCCTAGTAGGGAGTACTTGTTTTTTCCCACTTTCCAGTTTCAAAATACGTACTACCCCCGGTTTTTCCAACACCGCCGTGCGTACGAAAAGGGGGCGGAAGATTGCGCCTGTGTGCCGACGTTTCCAGAGAAACTGATCAAGAAGAAGAAGATGATGATGGAAGAATCAACTTCGCTTACTGCGTACACCAGCGTGACATGGCTTAGCTGTTGTGTTTGTATGACGTATTTGCAACGTATATAACTGAAAAAAAGGCAAAATTTGTTACAGGACACCGAAAGATTGCGGTCTTTGCTACGAGACATCTGAAGATTGTATATTTGCTCGTGGACACTGTAAAAAAGTGGTAATTAGCTCCTGGACATTTCTCCCATTATTTTATTATTTCTGATCAAAATGGAGAGGAAAACTTTGGTTAAAGACAAATTTGCCCATGGGTCCACTCGTCAATCTCTCTCTCTCTTGTTCTTCTTGCTTTCTTTCTCTCTGTTCATCTCTTCCTCTCTTTCTCTGTCGCGGCACACCGGGCAGAGCTCCACGGCGAAGGTGTGCTAGCGAGGACGACGAGGCGGCGGCGTGCTTGGACGCGACGACGCGGGCGGGCCACGGCGAGGTGACGAGGTCGACGAGGCGGGCGGCGTGGGAGCACGACGCGAAGAAGTCGAGCCCGCCGCCGCCGCCGCGCACCGCGCCGACGCGGAGGGCATCGCCGTGGGTGACGACCTGCTGCTCGAGGTGGAGCAGCGTGCGGCGGTGCGACGCCGACTACGACGGTGGAATCGACACGTTCTTCCTCGATGACGCCGACGACGTGCTGTTCGGGCAGCTCGCCGCGGAGCACGAGCCGGCGTGCGCGTGGCGGGGAAGGCCGTCGTGGAGAGCCTTCCGACTGTGGTCGTCGAGCGCCGCCGCCGCCCCGCCGTGGCCGAGCCGTCCCCGCCCCGCTGTGGCCAAGCCGTCCCGGCGATGCGCCGCCGCCGCCGCCCAGCTGTGGCCAAGCCGTCCCGGCGATGCGCCGCCGCCGCCGCCACCCCGCCATGGCCCAGCCGTCCCGGCTCGAGCCGGCCGCCGTCGCCCTCTGCTCCACTGCAAAGAACAAGAAGGGGAAAAGAAAAGAAGTGAGAGGAAGAACACTGTACAAGGGCATTTTGGTACTTACACAACTATTTCTCTCTTCATTTTGACCGGAAATAATAAAATAATGGGAGGAGTGTCCAGCAGCTAATTACCACTTTTTTACAGTGTCCACGAGTAAATACACGATCTTCGGGTGTTTCACAGTAAAGACTGCAATCTTTTGGTGTCCTGTAACAAATTTTGCTAAAAAAAAATGTTATGTATTCTGTTCAACGGACTTACTGGGCCCTGAACGTGCAAGAAATGAAGAAAGGCCGAAAATTTAATGGGCCGCAACGTGATCGACGCGAGCCCCGGTTTGTTCAATTGATAGGCCTATTAAGTTCACATCATAATTGGAGCATGAGGTACGTGCTTTCTGGCTTTTGACCAAACCAAAACCCAAGCCCTGCGTGGCTTGATCAGCAGGAGGAGGATTCGTCAAGCTCATTTCAATTTGATCCAAAGCAATGGTACAGGTAGGAGGCAGCATCACGCCCCCTTTGTACTGAGCAAATTTGATGTGTGTCACTGATGTGATTACAGCTGCGATACATCTTTAAGCTCGTCCAGAAAGAGGCAGCCGAACACAAAGTTGAAAAATTCACTGCCCTTGATGACACCTGGCTTCCCACGAGCGCTTGAGTATCATATTTGCAACTCCTTTCTTTTCAGTTTACAAAAGCAAGACAACTTTGTCTTGCCCAGTTTCCAATTGACAGATATTTACCCCTGATGCTCCAGCAAATAAGTTTTGACAAATGTTATCACCTCAAAGATCATTCCATGCAATCCTAACTAATGCCACAATTAATGACATAGTTATTTAGGCAGGTGGTGAAACTCATAGAGGCTGAACCTTAAGGCAAGTTTTATAGTAGAGATGACTAACACATCCAATTTTATGTATGACATATATAATTAAATTAAGAGGTGATATGCATAATAGGTTACCTCTACTACACAATCCCCAATATCTCTAACACTCTCACATGTTTATTGAAATTTATGTAGGGGCTGCCTCTTGCATGAGAGGTGACTATTTCTCTCTCATCCTTCTTCTCTCATCCACTTCACTATTTAGCCCTATGTGGTATCTTGGGGCTTATGCTTGGATGCTCATAGTACTTGCCCTTAGTTCTCCTTTATATAGTACTAGTACATACATCTACGCCCATTTTTAACTGGATCTTATTAATTATCTGTTATTTTCACTTAATAATGTTTATGCAGTAACAACCAAGATCAGGTTGGAATGCCACAGCAATACACATACAGATGATAAATGTATTGAGTTCAGGGCAAGAAAGACTTGATTAATGAATCTTGTGCATTTAAAGGCAGAAGTTACTAAAGAGTGCATAATAATGGTTTCGGCAACAGTAAACAGTTAGACATCACTTGATTATCAGCTAAGCAAATAAAGTAAGGGGGTGTTTAGATGGGGCTAAAACTTTTTAGTCCGTATCACATCGAATGTTTGACGCTAATTTGGAGTATTAAACATAGACTAATAAAAAAACTAATTTCATAAATGAAAGCTAATCTGCGAGACGAATTTTTTAAGCCTAATTAATCCATAATTATGAAAAGTTTACTGTAGCATCACATTGTCAAATCATGGTGTAATTAGACTCAAAAGATTCGTCTCGCGAATTAGTCCAAGGTTATAGAATAGGTTTTATAATTAGTGTATGTTTAATACTCTAAATTAGTGTATAAACATCCGATGTGACAGGGACTTAAAATAAGTCCCTGTTTCCCAAACAGGCCCTAATACTCACATACTGCCCTTCATAGATATACCCATTTGCATCACCAACAGCAATAGCACTTATCCAGCTAATCTTGAGGTACTTAGAGATTGCACAGGGATGGCAAATTGAACTGAGAATGGAGAACCTTGCAGCAGAAATTGGGGCCACATCTTGCAGTGTGTTATGTTTCATGTCAACAGAGATGATCCAGGCATTTTTGTCTTCTTCGTTCATCTTGGTTATCATGTAAAGAAAGTCATCATCAAGCATACTCAGAGTGGGGATAGAACAAATCAGTCTCTTCAGTTCCATGTTTTTGGTATTATTGTCCCACAGCTCAGGCAAAACAGCGGCATAACTGGGATCAACCAAGATGTCAGTTTTGTCAACTGTGAAACGCTTGCGCCAATCTTTCCAAGAAGGCAACCTATTCCATGTTGTGGCTTTCCAACCATTACCATTGGTCTCGTCAGTGTAGCAGTATTCTACGTCCACAAACTTGATCAAACCATTGCAGCAGGCAACATCCCGTACACACTCTGGGGCTGTTTCGCCGCATACAGTTTCACCATAGGCATCCGTGGTGTACACCACTGGCTTAGGGAATGTCATATATCTCACAACTGGGTAGTCGTCGAACATCTTTTCGAGCAGAATAATACCATGCCAGAGATCAACCAAGCACAACGAATCGTGTCCTATATTGATCAGCTTGTCGATCTCATGCTCGAGGGCTACCTTGTGATTCTCAGAACGGGACAAGTCCTGCAAGACTGGTTTAACGTCCCACTTTCTGTTCTTGGATGAGAAGATGTATAGCTCAAACTGGCAAGCTACATCAGAGGGCACCCATTCAATATTGAGGAAGGCCACATTATAGTGCTCACTGACACCGCTGCGACAAGGGAAGAGGCCAAATTTCTTGGAGTTGAAGGACATGACATTGGGGTCAGGAAGCAGGTCGAGCCATGGACTCCAGGGGGCAGCCCTGTAGACGAAGTAATCGCATGGGCTCACTCATGGGACGGGGGGACAATTTGACGCGGAAGAGAACGAGGGATCCTTCCGCGGCGAGAACGGAGGGCTCACAGTCGAGGCCGTCCTCCTCCAGTCCCGGGCAATGGACAGTGAAGTAGGAAAGACCCGGCGGATCGACGAGCCAGAAGGACACCTGGATGATCTGGCCCTCGCTCGTCTGGGACTCAGCGGTGGATTTGTTCCGGCGGTCGGAGATGTACGCTGTTTCATCCAGCATGACCCAGTCGGGAGAGCCGCAGCGTCGGGAGGCGCCGACGGCGGAGGACGGAAGCTGCAAGGTTGGGGGATGATAGGAAGCGGAGGAAATCCCCATGGATCGGTAAGGTCACAGGATTTGGCAATTAGGGTTCGGGGGAGGCTGGTGGCGGCGACGGATGGCGATGGACGAGGAGTATGCGGCAGATCTGGGCAGACGAGGCGCTGATCGAGGCGGAGGCGGCGCTTGGCGTCGAATCGGGGCGGCTGCAACAGGAAGGAGGGGGTGCGAGACGCCAGGGAGGCTTGGGGTTAGCTGCGACACGCTAGAAATCGAATTTTTTTTATTTATACATTTTTTATTAAAATATTTACAAAAATAATTTTTTGTTTCGAAAATTTACAAATCTAATTGCCTGCCGCCCTTAAGAAGGGCGATATTTAAAAATCGCCCTCTCAAAGGGCGGCAAGGGACCTAAATACAAAATTTTTATTTGTGTTCAAACCCTTCCCACCGGTTTTAATTGCTTAAAAACTAATAATGCTTATTCGATACTCCAAATGATTTTAAATGGAAAAGTGATAAACTACAAAGTTATAGATCTCATCAAGATCTACAACTTTATATAAAGTTTATCTCCATCCAATGTCGTTTGAAATGTAGATCTGAGATTTTTTAAAATGTGTTTTATATTTTGTAACGAATATTTGGATATCTAAAACATCTTAAATGAAAAAGTTATTAACTACAAAGTTGTAGATCTCCTTGAGCTCTACAATTTTGATATAAAGTTTTATTTCATCTGACTTTATATAATATAATTTTAAATTGTAAAATTATAGAGCTAACAAGTTATGCTGGAAAATTTACATTTAGGTCCCTTGCCGCCCTGTGGAAGGGCGATTTTTAAAAATCGCCCTCCCAAAGGGCGGCAGGCGATTAGATTTGTAAATTTTCGAAACAACAAATTATTTTTGTAAATATTTTAATAAAAAAAAGTATAAATAAAAAAAATTCCTAGAAATCCATGTACTCCTATAGATGGCGGCCCACGGCCCGGCACGAAGCCCGCAATTTTGGCCCGACCCAAGCACGGCCCGGCCCGACAGCCGGGCCGTGCCTGGGCTGCACCCTTGGCACGGTGGGCCGGCCCGGCACGGCCCGATCAAATAAAAAAATGTAGGGACGAAAAATAGACTTATATAATCGTATAAGGCATGGCCCAAGACAATATGTATACAAAATAGACTTATTTTCCAGCCATTTAAACACAGCCCACAGAGTTGAGGGACCAAAAATAGACTTATTTCCAGCCATTTTAACACAGCCCACATAGTTGAGGGACCAAATATAGACTTTTTCTGTGAGGCAGCACAATAGCCCATCGTGCCTTCGGGCCGGCCCGGCACGGCCCGAGTAGTATTGGGCCGTGTATGCCGCCCGTGGGCTGGCACGGCACGGCACGGCCCGGTGCATCGGTCGGGCCGTGCCGGCCTGACAAGCCTTGGCCCAGGCACGACTAGGCTTGGGCCATGCTGGGCCGGGCGGCCTAGATGGCCATCTATATGTACTCCTACCTCCAACCCTCCGAGGTTCCGTCCGCTTGGCGACAGGGGCGGAGCTACAACGAAATGGAGATAGGTGCCACTCACTTGTTTTACTCTACTTTAGACTGATATAAGTGCTTAATTTTAGATTGAGGGGGTGCATATATGGTGAAAATAGATGAACTATAGCTAAAACAATTTCTTAACCGGGTTTCTGGGCACCCCCCCTATCCTACCTAGCTCCGCCCCTGCTTGGCGAGTTGGTGTATCAGGAAGTATATACGGACTTGTTTTGTTTATTTGAAAATCTTCAAAATTATCGATACTTATTCCATCCGTCTAAAAAAACAAATCTAGAACTATAGAACTAAATCTGATATATTCTAGTACAATAAAATACTAGGATGTGTCACATTCAGTACTAGGTTGGTTTTTTATGGGACGGATGGAGTAGGTGGTATTCTTTTCTCCTAAAGATAAAGATGAAGATTAAGTTTTTTACGTAAAACGAGATAGTATTAACGTATGATTGATTGTGTTTTAATTATTACAAACTTAAAAAATATATTAATATGATATTTTAAAGCAACTTTCATATAGAAAGTTTTCGTACGAAACGCATCGTTTAGCAGTTTGAAAAACATGCTACGAAAATCTTAATCTTCATCCAACTCTTATTGGAAAAAAAAACGAGACCTTATGGGAACTTGTTAGCATTGATCGGGCGTCCCTGATTGAGGTTCTGAGACCTGGTGATTAGTCATGCTAACGTAATAAGATGATAGGAAATGACTTCATACAATAGCGATATGGAAACAGGGGATCGACGGATAAACATTGTGCACTGAGATAACATAATAGTTGTACGAACTCATTTGTATTGATATATACGAGCAAAACTTACAAATAGTATATCAATCTTATACATAAAATTATCTCAACAATTCTAAAAGCTTATTGCGTCTTGCCTGATTCTGGACCTGTTGGACGATATAATCGTTGATGAAGTGTATGGGCCCGAATGCGCTTCTCATGATATCGACGTAGGGCCTGTTGGTATCTGGCTGCTCGCACAACAACTCGTTCCCAGGTTCCCAGTGCTCTTCTAACAAGCTGACGTGGTCGGCTCGCCATTCATCTTTATCCTTATCCAATCACAGTATTCCAAAGGTATCGAATCATAAAGAACATGTGTGTATAATTTAAGAACATAATTCAACCAATGACAACTAATGGTAGCAGTATTTCAAAGATATCGAATCACAAAGAACATGTGTGTATAATTTAAGAATATAATTCAACCAAGGACAACAAATGGTAGGTTCAGACTAGAGAGGATTCCTATATTTTGAGTCAAAAGTTTTTAAAATTTTAATTAAAAGTTTTAAACTCTAAGTTTGAAGGTTTTGTAATTCAAGTTGAATGATTTTAATTTTTAAATGAAATTTTTAAATGAAATTTTTAAATTTGAGTTGAAAGCTTCGAATCTTTAGTTGAAAGTTTTTAAATCCCTAATACTTAATTAATTATGCGATAATAAGTTGTTCTGTTTTCCGTGCTGAAGGGATAGGGTCCCAACCAGCATAAACGAACGCAGAGTACAAATTTTGATATTGCACTTCACATATTATACAATCATGAATCACGTTGACAAAACTTTCAGCATGTGTTAACAAATTCAGCATCAAAGAATATCCTCCAGTGGTTTCAATATTGGATCCAACTCATATCATATGTTTGTGCCTAAAATCTGATGGGTAGAATCTCGAATCGATCATAGTCCACCGAGGTGTTTTTGGATCCTCTGCACGTCCTGGCCGGTGATCTTGAACGCCTTCTTGAGGACCTCGTCCGGCAGCCGCGGCTCCGTCCGGAACGCCGAGAAGGGCACGAGCTGCGCGCCGGGGCTCTGGCTGTTGAGCCCGGACAGCACGACGGCCGGCGCTGCCGTGTCCATGTTGTACAGGAAGTGCACCATGGCCCTCGGGAACACGAACGCCTCGCCGGCGCGCAGCAGCTGGGTGTACAGCCGGTACGACGTGTCGGCGAACCCGACCAGGACGCTCCCGCTGAGGACGAGCGCCGCCTCCGACGCGCGCGGGTGGGAGTGCGGCGGCGCCATGCCGCCCGGCGCGAGGTCGATGCGCGCCATGGCGAGGCCCTGCGCGTTGGCGCCGGGCAGCGACGCGGCCGGGCTCGTCAGCGTCGCGTTGAAGCCGTAGAGCGTGGCGGCCGGGTTGGTGGCGCGGGAGAGCGCGGACGTGGCGAAGTGGTCGGCGCGTGCCAGCGCCGGGTCGATGCAGGCGAGGCCGTTCAGGTGGAACGCCCCGGCCGCGGTCGCCGCCGCCGTGTCGGCGACGCAGTAGTCGAAGAGGAGGTCGGGATCGCATCTGCAGAGGACGGCGAAGAGGGCGAGCGAGAGGAGGATTCGATGGGCGACGGCTGCTCGCATGGCTGCGTCTCGATCAGGTTGGCTCCAGTTTAGGCGGGAAAGGAGTATATGCCTCTACTCTCTAGATGATTAGGTCGAGATATCAGTAGCTGCTACTACCTGTGTATATATGTCTAGAATGTTGTTGCCATGTGATGATGCTTTCAAGTTACTGTGGGTATGAGTAGCGGAAAGGTAAGGGCTAGCTTGCCTTGGAGCATGAGGTACGTGCTTTCTGGCTTTTGACCAACCAAAACCTTGAACAGCAGGAGGAGGATTCGTCAAGCTCATTTCAATCTGATCCGAAGCATGGTACAGGCAGGAGGCAGCATCACACCCCCTTTGTAATTGTACTGAGCAAATTTGATATGTATGGCATATAAAACGACAGGATCACAACTCACATGTGCGTGTATTGTGTTGAACTTCGGTGTTACAGCAACCTTGTTGTGGTGATTACAGCGGCGATACATCTTTAAGCTCGTCCAGAAAGAGGCAGCCAAACACTGTATTGAAAAATTCAGTGCCCCTGATGACACCCTGGCTTCCCACGAGAGCTTGAGTGTCATATTTGCATGCCCTCGTGCAGTCCGGACAATATGTCACCTGCATTTCATTTTATAAATTTTCGGAACAGTGAGAGGAATTACTAGGAAGAAGGTTTTAATGCTTATATAATACAATAGCTGAACATCTATAAAATTCCAAATGTAATAGTCAAATTTCAATTGGAAGCTTATGCTTGGGTGGCAAACAGAGATTAACTGAGTGTTACTTCCTGACTTTTGTACCACATCTTGCCTGACATACTATGTATGTGAGGCTACAACAAGAATATCTAAATCAACATACTGGCATATCTTCTGAAATTAATTCTGAGCTGGGCATAAAATGAGAATGCGCAAGGGCTTTCATTAGTTCAGTGAAGCATATGGGCAATGGCTTTCACACGTCAGTACTATATAACTTTAACCATGTGCCGCGGCACTACAATTGTTGTGTAGATATGCAGGTTTCAGCATGTCATGTCAACAATAGGGGGAGGCAACGAAATTTCAGCGGTTGCAGGATAGGAAAGTAGGTAAGGCATACCTCCAAAATCTTCGGATTGAATTTATTATCAAGCATGACATCAACCCCATAGATAGCCCTAGAGAACGGGTTCTGCATCTCAGGATGAACAGCTGTGGCTGACTCAAAGACACATCGTATCATATCCCGTATGCGTCCATGGATCTCCAGCCATTTAACTAAAATTTTAGTCAGAAGTCAGTAACTAGACACGCATAATATAAAGAGAAAAATGCAAGCTGACCTTGGTGCTCCTTCTCAAACTCCTTGACAAACTCTGGTGTGTTCATATGGTTCATCCTTCCAATATAATTCTGGAAGGGAAATATAGTTAAGCATCCTAATCACATTTTAATTCTGAGAAAAAAATATATCATATTTCTAGAATCTAGACTTTCACATGATATTTGATGCCAACATCCCTTCCAATATAATTCTGGAAGGGAAATATAGTTAGGCATCTAAAGCACATTTTCATTCTTAGAAAAAAAAAAACTATAAACATAACATAAGCATAAAGCCAGAACATAAAATCACTTAAAGAACAGGAAAGAACATCTGAACACACACTACTTATACACTCCTGACAGCAACTAACATTCATGGTCCCACAAATAATATGTATAGTTACAATCAAATTTGAACATACCATCACGGTGAAATGGGTTTCATATTCAAAAAAGCTTGTTTTCTCCAGAGTGTACTGATTGTTTGCTAACCTAACCTGCGAATAATAAGTTATATGCACCAGAGTCACAAAATAATTAGTAAGTATCACAGTGAACAATGAGATCGATCAAAAGTATCATTCGAATTAAAGGTCATACCCAAAACACATCAGAAAGAAATATCTCTAAAGGGCATATACTGCGGACGAAAACAATATACCGCAGATCAAACTTCCTTCCTTGGAAAAGTGCAGGGCATTCGATATATTTTTGGCATATTTTGGGACCTGTCTCCATGAGTCTAATGATAGCAGATAAATCACCAGTAACAGTAGTGTCAATTGTTCTTGCCATATTCCAAGGCTTCATAATCCATAAGTTATCCATACCATCTCTCTTTCTCACACAGTAATCTCCAATGAGTGGAGATAAATGTGTCTCCAGGTTATACGTAGGTTGAAGCCATTCAGGTGAACCCCATGCCTGTAGAAGTTGATGCTAATTTTCAGATGCCATTGAAAGAATATGGTGTTTATTGTATGGTTTTTTGACATAAGTTACACGCAATGTTTTCCCTGAAAAACAGATCTAAGCTAAACAGCTCAGTAGCTCACCTTGTGGATAGTCTCTGCCAAGTGATGTTTCATGACCAGGCAAGCTTCGAAAGGAAATTGATTTGTATATTGTTGGTCTGTAAGTCCTAGTGCATTCTTTAATTCCGAATCCACTTGCATGCTTACCCAAATGATGTCAGCTTCCTTTGGATCAGATGCTGCAGGCATACAAAATAGATACAAATGAGGAACATTTGGTGACCATATATAAGTAAACCATACGATGGAAGAGCACTATCAATATTTTTTTTGGGACTGGTCAGAGAAAACATAATACCTAGCTGATTCCTTAGGTAAACTAGTGCTAGCAAACACAAAAGCTTTTAATCTCAAATGAACATCTACGATTGGGTTCAAACTACCCAGATAAATGAATGTTCTATAATGTGCATCACCAGCAAGCTACATCAATGCTTCCTACATAAACGAAGTTCCAAGGGAAAGGAGGACAAGTTGATTACAAGCTTAAAGTTAATGTTTTACATAAACAGAAGTTAAGAGTTTATTTCTATCTAAAGACAGTTGACCCTTACCAAAAAAAAAAACAGATAAACGATAAGGTAGGGTGGAATTTTCCTTACTGAGAACAAATTCTGGACGTGTTAGAAACTCCTCTACTTGGGGTATGTCGGTAAATACTCGAAGTGCATGGCCATCACTTGGACGGATACTTTTGGTCACCGGTGTTACTTTTCTTGAAGGACAGATACTGCTTGATTGAAGTTGTTCCTTGTACTTTCTGAATTCCTAAAAGGTTGAAAAGGGAGAGGAAGATAAACATATGGACAAAAGATAAGACCGTTTATCCCAGCACCACAAGTTTACAGACTAAGTTTCTTGCCTGGATAAAATAATTCTCTGGTGTGTGGAACCAGGCTGTAAGCCTAGCCGAGCGTTGTTTGTCCTCGCCAACACCAAACAAGAAATCACGAGTGCACTCTTCTCCAGTATGAACATCATGAACAGGCCACAAAATTGTGTAACTGAAAATGTTGGGTATTAGCAAGCTACATATTACTAACATGTTGCTGAAGTTCGAAGGACAATACCTTATGGCAGAAGCTAGTTTACCATCGGGCATGAACAGGAAAGGTGCTATTCTGAAGTTTGCATCGTCACTGTGGCGCATAGCTGAACCCAGCTCATCCATGACATACCTACATGAATAACCAGACACAAACCCACAGAATAGTAGACACAGTGTTAATCAGATACAAAATTTTCTTTTCATGCCATTCGATTCAATATTTATGACTGCAGAAAAGTGAAAACAAAGCAATGTTCTAGATCGTCTAAAGGTGAATATCTACACTAGGCAAACCTACCTATGGCTAGGGGCTAGTTGACACAATCATAATTATTTATGTTCAAACTTTTAGCAGAACTTCACCTCGAAGTTATTAAAATTACGCACAATGCTCCATAAAGGGATGAGAAAAGGTTGCAACTTGCAAGTAGTCATACCAAACAGGTGTTTCATCGATCTTTTCTTCATCAGCAAGCCGGTATGTCATAAGATATAACCACATTGCACCAATAACTCTTTCAGGAAGGGATTCTTGTGGTGACCATTCAGGCAGACGTGGTTTAAGTGCAGAATCAATTATATGCTTACCACTCTCTATTATACTTGCCACATTGATACCATTTAGCAAAGATAGATTAGGAAGACACTCAAGAATGGAAATAGCACTGTTTCCAAGAGAGCCAGGAATATCAACCTGTGGAAAGAAATTTGCCATGAAAACCTTGATTGCAATCATCTTATTAATTTATAAAGAAGGTGATCTTATTTATGAGACAGACATGCAGTTAGGCTGGTAATACCTCCAACTCTTGTAACTGGGTAAATCCACTAATTAACTTCAAGAGATCGTCACTGGACATTTGATCCAAAGGATTACCACGGATGTTCAAGCTCAACAGGGAGGAAAGTTTTCTAGGAGAGAACACCTGTTGAATTGTATATGCAGAGAAGGGAATTATCAGCAAAAGAGTTCCACATTTCAAGATTGTACAGTTTGGAAAATAACATCTTAAAGTCAAAATGTGCCAAATGGATTAGTGAATAATTTTGATCAAGAAAATGAATTAGTGAATAATGTCAATAAAGAAGACCAGTTATAGCTATTACCACTGGTAGTTTGTGGATACACCTATCTGAGAGATCGAGAGACGCAATATTCTCCAATGGTATGCTTTCCGCTGAGGAACAGGGATTGTCTGCTCCAATAATATCCCCACAGAAACCTAAAGCCCATTCTCCAGCTTTCCTCGTAAAATGTGAATTGTATATTTCCAATTCAGGTAGACCGTCAAGAATAACTTTGTCAACACTATCAACATTAAGGAAAAAAACATCAGAATGCCACATGACAAAAGAAGAGATGGCGAATGGCCCAACCAAAACTGGTCACTTGTTTGGTTTGAGGATCCATTTATCACCTCAGCATTTTTTTTATAAGTTTATGTTTGTTAGTACATGTTTATTACTATGATGAAGAAGGAAGTCATCCCACTAAAACCATGGGAAGACCTCATGATGAACCAACTCATCCTAAGATGGTTTTATTCTTCAAATTAAAGAGGACATATACTATAACTAAGCAAAATAATATCTCAATTATCTTAAGATGTTGTTCACTTGCTTTCTGTTCAAGCACAGAAGTTACAATTTTCTCCTATCAATCATGTTGAGATAACTACATGATTCCACAATAACTAGTTGCTGGTCAACTTCCATCAGGACCCCCAGAGTTATTTTCCTACTTGGACTTATCAGGCTATAACAGTGAAAAACTTGAAATGAAAAATATTCACAACAGAATTAACAAAATTAAAACTTCAACAAAAACAAATAAGGCTTGATTCTGACCCTTCCTTCAGTGCAGGGTTCTCATTCAACCAAAGTGCCTTTAGCCTTCTACATTCCCCTATTCCTTTCATTATTTTCTCTGGATCCTGAAGCTTGTTTCCCCATAGGTTGAGGGCTACCATATTCTAATGGCATACAAAGAAAATAAAAGGAAAACTTCAGAACATACACAAAATTCAAAGAAACATGAAATTATGGTAAAAATACACATCTCAAAGTCATAATGTTTTTGGGGAGCAAGACCAGTACTAAACATTAGTACT